AGGACCCCAGAGAACCCCGCCTTCACAGTCCCTTCCATTCTTCAGAAAGTGGGTTTGATGTGCTAATGAGGCATTAATTATTAAGCAGTGTTAGCATTCATTACAATAACGGGGGAATCTGTGGAGTTTGCTGGGAGAAAGGGAGGGTCTTTTGAAACTCAATACCAATCGCTCCTCTCCCACAAGATGGGAGGGGCAACGGAGAAGAGGATCTAAAGAGACTTTCAGGGGTGCTTGAGGACTAAGCTGTGATCAGAAGCCCTGGAGAAGACACCCCCAGCTATGCCAGCTGCTGCCCCAAATATGGGTCCCTGTGTCAGGAGACACTGTTCCCAAGATAGCTCAAATCCCAGCACCTATTGCTGACTTTGGGTCACCCTCAGACTTTGGATGGTCTAAAGGGGACTCTGGCCAGGGCGTTGGTACAGGTGTGCCAATCCCCTTCACTGGCTGGCTGCTCCTCCCAACCTCGCACAGTCTAGAGTAGTGATGGTATTAGAACTCTGGCAGCAGGCACAGAGTTTTTGTGGTAGGGCGTTTCTTGGGGTTCTGGGGGTGGGGGGGCTCCAAGGTGGCAGAGTAGTTCAGCGCATACCTGACTTCTGCATCCCCCCTTTCCCCACCACCCTCCTTCCCTAGAGGCCCAGTTCCCCTCTCCACCCACCCATCTTCCTGCCCAGATGCTTGTCACCATGAAACCCCATAGAACACTGGGGAAGGAGAGGTGAGACTGAGGATCCTCAACTCTGGGGTGCTCCCCCACCAGGTCTCACTTGCAGGACCCCAGAAGCAGGTCTGGGAGGACAGTGTTTGAGAAGGGCCAGGTGGGTTCTCTGTTCAAATCTCTCAAACCAGCTGGCTGCCCCTCCTGACCTGGAGAAATCTAGAGATGCAGGGGAGGAGGGCCAGAGGGAAGTTACCTGTTGAAGAGTGAGAGTGGGGGTGGGGCCACACCGGAGGCTCCTCAGGTAGAAGCAGCTGGCACACTGGCTGTGCCTGGCACCAGGCCAGTTTCCAGGCACAATTCTCGTCTCTCACCTGGAGGAATACCTGTGCTGCTCTTGCCTGGTCTGTGCAGAAGACTTGCCCAGCTTCCTCCCTGCCCCAGGGGCCTCTGCCTGGGAGGCCCGGTGGGAGTGGCACCGCCTTCCCTTCCCCAGGGTGTGGGGCTGAGGGTAGGTGGGGTCAGTGAGGGACACCCTGCCAGGCCACCTGCCTCTGGCGCAGCTTGGGGCCTTGGAGCCTGTTCTCCCTCAGGAGTCAGTGCCCTGTCACCCCAGGAAGGGTGAGGGTGGTGGGGGAGGGCAGGGCACAGCTCTTCTGGGTTGGGTCGGTCTGGCTGAAGTAGTTGAGGGGAGGAGGTCAAACGCGCTTCTATCGGAGAGGAGAGGATCAGAAATGTTGAGGGAAATCATTACCCCAAATGGATTTAAGGCCTCAGGAGGAGGTTCACAGGACACAGACCGTCACATTAGGCTGGGGAAGGACCGTTCCTGACCTCTGAGAGCTGATTCACGGACCCCCTGGACTACCCCACCCCAGCCTCTGAGACAATGTGCTTCTTGGTGGCTAGTTAAGGACAGACAAACCTCCCAGTGACAAGACAAACATCTTCCCAGGGGATAGTACCCAGTCCCTTAAGCATCAGAGCTGCCTCTTAGCTATCAGTCACATTCCTGGATTCCAGTGGTTGTGGTCATGAGGTCATGAAGAGGTTGCCCCTCCAGTGCTCCAGCAGAGGCTTAGGGGACAGTGGTGGAGGTGAAAGGACGGGAGCTGCCAGTCAGGCTGATCTGCATTAGAATTCAACGGTGCTGCTCTTCGATCCGGCATGGCTGCCCCTTCCATTCCTCTGCCTCTGAAATGGAGCTGAAAATGTCCACTGCTGTGGGGCTGCTGAGCAGGTTAAAGGAGAGAACGTGGGCAAGACGCTTGCTGAGTCCCTTCTCCTTAGGTGAGCTCTCTGGAGGAGGGGAAGACCTTGCCTCATGGGGTGGGGTCCAGCAGGAGCTGATGGGGAGCAAAGGGCAGAGTCTTAGGTAGTAGGGGGAGGGGTCAAGAGGAAGAACAGAAGCTGGAGGCTGTCACCAACCTTGGGGTTGCCAGAGGCATCTGGGGGGAAGTCATCCCTCCCATCACTGGCCCCTCCCCTACAAAAGGCCTGCTGCCTCCCAGGCCCATCTTAGGCAGGCGGCCAGGCAGGGAGCTGGATGAGTGCCAACTGCACGCTCAGAGGCCAAAAGATGGGCACCGTCCAGCTGGCAGCGGGAGAGGCAGCTGGCCCAGGAGGGGAGAAGTCAGGGTGCCGACTGCTGGGATCGTGTGCCCAGACGGTGTGTCTGAGCCTCGGCTCTTGGCTGCCCTCCTTGGCTGTCCAGCTACAGCAGGAAGGGTCCCCTCCTCTTCTAGCCCTGACCTTGCCACCCAAATTACTTCAAATTACTTCACCAAGGGGCATCTGGGACCTGACCCTAGCCAGGCCTGTGGCTGGTTCAGGGGCAGGCCCGGGGCGGGCAGGTAAGTGGGAGAGCCTAGATTAAGGCTGCAACTGGGTAGACCAGGAAGTGGGGAAACCGGTTTGTCATTTGGGCCAGCTGGGGTGGGGTCTTCTCTCCCGCCTCTCCTCTCCGCCTGCCTGCCTGCCTGCCAGCCTGCCTGCCACTCTGCCTGGTGGCCTCGAGTGAAGAGATGTCCTGTGCCCCTTTTGTGCTCACTTAAGCTGGCTTTGAGAATGCTGGGAATAAGGAAAAGGGGCAAGGGACTCAGCGCGCCTTCTCCTCCCACGGAGAAGCTTGGCAAAGAAAGAACAGGACTGAGGGCCCTATGGAGAAAGAGAGAGAACCGCCAGAACGGGAGGGGTGAGGACCAGAGCGCCTCCAAGCTGGAGGAGTCTGTGGAACCCACAAGTAAGTTGGGGTGCGAGGAAGGGGGGTTGGGCAGGGCTGAGCTGAAGCCCTGCTGGGGAGAGGGCGATGGTGTGGCCAAGCGAGGTGCGAGAAGAGAATGGCTGGAGTAACCTCTTTTGGGGTCCCTCTTGACTGAGGAGCATCCTAGCTAGCTCCGGTCTCTGTAGTTCCAGCGGTCTCCTGCAGGAGGGGCCGCAAACCGCGCAGGGGGGCAAGGAGACAGCCCAGCAGGGGGCGCCAGGGGACTGGGTCCCCGCGTTTAGAAAGAAAGGGGGGAGGGGGTCTTGGGCTGAAGCAGAGGAGGTCCACACTCTTCAGCCTCCCGCGACTGCGACTTTCGGAGGTCACCTTGGCTGAGGAGAGTCGCCACCCAGCCTAGCCTCCCGGGCCCGTGCCTCCCCGAATGCTTTTCCACCTCTGGGGTCTAAAGTCCCCCAGCCTCGCGGTGCACCCCCTCTCCAAGGCCGGTCGCGGGCCTTGTGTATTTTTCTCCTTGGCGGCGCGAGGCTTGCTTGGGGTGGGAGTAGCAGGTGGAGTGGGGAGGGAGCGCGAGCGCGCCCGC